TTTCCTCCCATAAAAATGACAGCACATAATAAAGAGCATGCCACACACGTTACAGGGAGGTTCTCATCCTTGTAAATTGCAGGAGCACGTGATGGATGGGATTGGAGGAGGTGTAAAATGTGACATGTCAAAGAACAAATTCCACAAGTGTCAGTGATCTGCAATGTCAAGGTGGGCCTGAGGGGCAGGCCAGTGAAATTTGAATTTTGTAGGCAATGCAAGGGAAAAAGGACAGCAAATTCTAACATTGCTGTAAGCAGTTACAATTGATGTTTTGCAAAGAGCAGTAATTAAATTTGCACTTATAAATTAAATCCTCATGTCCCAACTGCAAATAATTCATTGTTGAGTCTCCAGTTATTTCCCTTCTTATACTTTTTTTATTGAATGCAGTAATGTCTCTTGAACACCGAGCGTCACATTGTGTTAGGTGCCTCAGTCCTCATCACAGTCCTGGGGATGTTTACGATGAGGCATCTGAAGGTCAGTTATATAACTTGCTCAAAGTCACAGAGGCAGTAAGTGATAAAGTCAGATCTGCCAGACTCTAAAACTTAACGATCTTTTCATTCTGTCTTCTGTCTCTCTAATAATTGGCATAAAGACCACAAAGGGTTAAGATCCAGAAAGTCAGGCTAAGCCCCAGTTGTCTGTATTCATCTGTGTGACCTTGGACTAATCAGTTACTCTCGCTCAGTGTCAGTTTCCTCACCTACAAGATGGCAAGAAGAATAATATCTCCCTTGTAGTGTTGTTGTGAGTAAAATAATGAGATGATCCCTGTAAATAACTTAAGATGATAAGCGCTCAATTAATTTTGGTTATTTCTATTATCACTTATACCACCACCATCTCCTGCCCATTCTCTGCCAGGTTCTGTGCTAAGCATTTTATGTGCATCATCATCTCAGTAGTTCTGCAAGGCAGATGTTAGATCCCCATTTGCACAAGGTAAATAGGCTCAGGGCAGTTAAGGATCTTGTCCGAAGAGTTCCGAAGCTTGTCTAGCCCCAAAGCCTCTTTGCTTTCTAATCATTTACTGACTGTAAATTCCTATCCTATCTATTTTGTGGTGATAGGACGGTGATGCGGGTGACAGTGACAGTGAGGTCAGTGTAGCCGTAGTTCTTGCCCACCGAAGAAGCAGGGCCAGGACTCAGCCCGGGTGTCTGCCTGCAGAGGCCCAGCCACCCCGACTGCCCTGCTGCAAGGCTTCCAGTAAACAGTAGCTTGGTCTTTATGGGTCTGCTAATTCCATGCATAGGAAGCTTGAAATTGAGGGTACTTGGAAAAGTTATCCAGAGTTATATTTTTATTTTACAGCTTTATTCCCCAGTAGCTTTTAGAAGGCTTGCAGTCTTCCTAATAACTTATTTCTAAGGCATTCTTGACTAAGTCAGAATTAGTTTGTAAGTTTGGGCAGAATTAACAAGGCACTTAGGGCATTGAACAGATCCCTCCCCACCCCACCTTTTGTGTTAATTTGGAAAGTCACCACGAAATGAGTAGATTATTCCAGCGACATGGTAGAGATCCATAAAGCTATTTCTCATAGGTTTTATGAGCTTTCCCTTCCATCACTAAGCAGGCTCATCTGCTGATTCTTTCCAAAAGAATGAAGGAAACTTTATTTGATTCTTTTGAAATTATCTCTTCCAAACAAAATAGGATTGGAATAACCAACAAAATTGTGAATAATTTAGATTCTCATCAGAATTCCAACCGGAATTTCTATACAGAGGCAAACCTCTTGGCCTGGCTAGAAGGTGGCTAGACAATAAGAACCTTTAAACGACTTGTATGTGTTCAAGTTTCAAAGTTAAATGAAAACAGCAATTTGGGGAGTGATTTCCCAGGCTCTTTGATGAAAGTTCACGTTGCCTGTTCTGACTTAGTCTGATTTACAAAGGTAGCCTTGCACTTTGGACACATGTGTCATAATAGTGGTGACAGTCCTGCGTCTGGCGCTGTACACCCTGCAGCGTGCTTACTTGCACACCATCGCTTCTGATCCTGAGAACGGCCCTGTCAAAGCTCCTCAGAAGCTGGAGCCTGGCCCATGGTGAAGAGAACTGGCCTCCAGGTCTGTAACACTCCCCGTGTTGAAAATCTCCCTCTGGAATTTATTCTAGTATGCTCAAATAGCTTTTCACTTAGATGAAACAGCCGATGAAATGAAATTCTCATGTGTTCTCATGTCTCTTGCTGGTCGGTGGTGTATAAGCTTAAGTTTTCATGCATCTGGCTAAATCCATGGCCCTCCCTAACAGCTTCCTCTTCTTTGTTTCTCCAACATCTACTACAGTTTTTAGGGAAAAGCAAAATGCTCACATTTCTGGCATCAGTTGAAATTAACCATCACCTTTGTTCTCATTGTAGTTGGTGAGGATCTCATTCTCAGTAACTCATTAGGAAAACTGACACAACACCTGGGGGACACCAGCCATGAGGGAGGGGAGGCCTGTTACTAATCTGAATTCATTTCAGATGTTTTTAGGTAGGGATTGCCGAATGTGTTGTACTTGGGGCCAGGGGCAGAAGGGTTCTAAGAGACACCGTAATTTGCTGGAATCCATACTTGTGTGTTTAGGGGCGCTGGCTTCTGTAAGTAAAGATCGGCTAGAAAAGATGAGCTGAACAAGTAATGACTGCTGAGGAAGTGGAGAGCGCAGGTGTTAGAAATTTCAGCCCTAGGGTTCTTGTCCCAGCCCCTCTCCTGCTTAGCTATGTGGCAGGTCTGGGTATCTCTCATTGTGGAATGGCCATTCTGTTTATTCTGTTGAGTTCACCGATGGCTCAGAGATAAGCATGTACAAGTACCAGGCAGATGCAAACACTCATCTCTAGGGACAGTGTTTAAATGTCAATGATACTGGTGCACAGGCAGGTCATCACCTAGGTGCAGCCCTGGCTTAGCTTTGTTTGGGGGATGAAGTTAAGGGACAGAAAGCTTCTTAGACGCTGTGGTCCTTGAGCTCCACAACAACCATAGTTTCTCTTTTCTTCCTCTGCAGATACCTAAAAGGAGTCTGGGGACATTGTGTAGCACTGGTACATATTTTTAGGGATGCCAGCTCCTCTGGAAGCCAGGAGATCTTTGTTGTTTTTGCCCTAAGTCCCCTTCTCCCCTTACTCCCTTGCCCCAGTTGAACTCAGCTATCCAGTGATTCAGTTTATTTTGTTGAAAATTCAGTCCCCCAGGGAAAATATGATAATGCTGTTTTCAAACAGCTGTGTTTGTGAGCAAGATGGACTGAACCAGCTGGCTGGCATCATTGGAGCCCAAGGACCTGCCAACCCATGGAAAGCAGCTGTTTTGGCTGAAATTCTTATTATTCTTATGATTTGCTTCCTATATTATCAGCTTCTGAGTTCTGCTTTTAAATGCACGCACAAAGGAGAGAGAGCCATGAGAAAGACAGACGTGTCTAGGGCTACCCATAGTTGAAGGGAATGAGCTGCCACCACCACCCTCTTGTTAATCATAATTGTTGGAAAAGAGAGAATCCAGAAGGAGGCGAGTCCCAAGGAGTAAGAGGTGATAATGAGTGGATCAATAAATACTGATATTGTAATATGGTGGGGTTGTTAAGAGGGAGCAGGTGTTACAGTATGTAAATGAACTGTATAAGATACAAAACTGTATAAAGAATACAGTCATAATTCTGGAAAATTGTTCTTTAACATTAAGTGAGATAACTGATACAAAGCGCTTAACCTGGTGCCTGACATGGCAAATGTTCAGTAAACCACAGCTACTGGATGCAAACTCTCTAACCGCAGGGAACTTCTTGCCTCCTGCACTGTTATCCCCAGAGTGCCTGGCATCAACTAGATGCTCCAGAGGTCTTTCCTGATTGAATGAATTAGCGTTGTTGTTATTATTATGTGCATTTAAAAATGAATCTAGAAGATCTAAGTATGTGGGTTTTTATGTGACCGTTTGTAATTTTACCTGTGATTGCGGCAGCTTAACCTCTCTGCCTGAGTTCTTCATTATAAATGGTGAGGACAGTACCTATTACTCAAGGTCACTGAGAACTGGGTGCACTACATGTCAAACACATGCAGTGACTGGTCCCTAGGGAAACCAACATTGAATGGTAGCTACTGTAATCACAGTAAGTACCATATAAGTGGAATCTATTATAATAATCCTGTCCTCATGTCTGGAGAAAAAAGATGAAAGTTGTCATGATTTTGTCTATCATTTTCTTCTCATTTTTTTTTACCTTGGACTTTTTTTAAGAAAAGCTTAAAAGTTCATAATAAAACTCAAAGGCTAATCATGGTTTCCCCTAAATACTAGAATTGGGAGAGTTTTTCTATTTTATTCTTGATGCTTATTTTAAAATTGCTTATAGTATTTATATGTTTCTTTTATCATGAAAAAGAAAAAAAGTATTTTCCCTCCTTTTTAAATAAGAAAAAAAAATTGCTTAGCATCAGAGATCACACAGAGCTGCTGCTGAACTAGAAAGGGCCTCTTGGAAGATGCTCCAGGGCCGGGAAATGGCACCCTGCTCTGGACTTCTTTTTAGAGTGTTTTTTAAATGCATGTTTCACATTCTAAGAAAGTTGTTAAGCAGTCATTAAGAACTGGGAAAGAGAACCAATGAGGAAAAAATAAAGGGATTTAGATTAATTGGTTCTGGACAAAGGTGGGCACAAAACTTGAAGTTTTGTTAACAGTCAATGGCTTAGATTTAGTGCAGCTGCTTTTCATTTCTCTTGGAGAGAAAAACAAAAAGATCAGTGGGAAGCATAGCAGAAGGGGTTAGAAATGGAAATAACTGGTTACCAGACTCTGGGATACGTTTTCGAACGAGAATGTTTAATGCAGTTCCTCTAGAGATGTTTAAAACAAAGTCTCGAGTAAACACTGGTGGTCTTTCCAACCTTACTGATTCTTAGACATTACCATGCCTCCAGTAGTACTAGGTCTGCTTTCTCCCCAGTTCACGGCAGCACGTAACTGTTCTATGAAATTTTACTTGCAGATATTTAACACCGTGCCTGATATGCCTCTCACCAATGCCCAGCTGCACCTGTCTCTGAAGAAGAGCAGTGACTCTAAGCCCCCATCCTGCAGCGAGAGGCCTCTGACGCTCTTCCACGCCATGCAGTCCACAGAGAAACGTGAGTCCTGTGCTCAGGGCAGCGGGGTGCTCCAGCGACATCCCGTGCCGCCTCCCGACTGCTCAGGGGGCACACCTCTGGCCTCTCTCTGTGGGCTGCTGCCTTACATGTCCTTGAGGACTCTGTAGCATTGTACCCTCCCAGGTGCCATGGCTGTGTAACCCTGATAGGAGAGGAAGCAGTATTGCTGAGAATGAAAGGCCAGGGCCGCTCGCTGTTCGGATCCGCTTTCCAGATCTCCCGTGGGCCACCAGCTGAGCCTCTCTCCCGCCTGCTACACAATAAGAGCTCAGCTCAGGCGTTGCTTCTTCGATTCCTCTTTCGTTAGCAGCTCCCATAGAACCAGCCTCCTTTCCTTTTCTCATTGTGTAATTAGTTCCCCACTAGAATGTGACTCTGTGAAGGCAGGACCTTGTTTTGCTTGTCCTTCTACTCCACCTAGCCCAGGTCCTGGCATGAAGTGGACACTTAATATATATGTGAAATTAATTAATGAATTCATTAGAGAATAATACCCTCCTTGTTCCACATAGCAGAGTGTAATCAACACGATTGTTTCAAAACTTTTTTTCATCTCAGGATTTCTGAGTTCTTTGCCATGATCAGGTTACTGCACCCTGAAAGAGCCATCTTGTTTGGCATTTGCAATGAGAGTTGAGTATAGACCCAGGTTCCTGTGCCAACAGCAACACACAGGCAAGCCTTTTCCCTTCTCTCAGCCTCAGTTTGCCCTTCTGTAAAGTAGGAATCATAGTACATACCTCATAGGGAAGCCGCAAGGTTTAAATGAAGTTATACATTAAGCGTCTGGTACAAGGCCTGAGTATGGCAAGGGCTGACAGCTGAGAGCTGCTGCTATTATTATTAGCTATTGTTTAATCACATACAGATACCAAGGCTGGTCCACTCACGCAGCTGACGTTTTCATGATTTCTATCAGGGACAGGGAGTATAAAAATACTCACAACTGACTAAGGGAAGCAGACAAACGAACAGAACGTGGCAAGTCGGCGCATAACTGCTCTCATAGAAATATGTGCCTTCAGCAATGGAGTAGAACATGCTGTTTGAAAGACAAATGGTGTCAGATTGCCTGGGTGAGAGTTCCGCTTCTGGGCTCACCGCTGTGTGTGGCTGGGTGCGTTATCTAACATCTCAGGGCCTCAGTCTCCTGTTCTGCAAAATAGGGATGATAACAGTTAATTTCTCACAGGGTTGTTATGAGGATTAGAGCACTTCAAACAGTGCCTCATGTAGAGTAAGTGCTCAGTAAATGCCATGCGGGGGTATTATTATTATTATTATTATTACTACTACGACTAAGACTACCACTACCACCCCCCACCACGACTGCTACTGCTGCTGATCTCTGTGAAGTACAGTACACATACAAAGTAGAATAATGACCCACTTAGCCTTGAAGAGAAGAGGCTCCTTATCAGGATTTGGCATCTCTCTCTTTCTTTGTTACAAAAATGATTTTTAGCCCTTTGCATTTCAAAAGTAACGTCCTTCCTTATCGTAACTCCTGAAGACGAATCTTCTCCGCCCCCAGAATATGATGCATTTAAAGATATCAGAGTATCCCATAATATGGCTGCCCTTGGTGTATTTAGCACCTTTTGGGTGTTTTATGTATTGTGCGTTTATGAATAAAGCTACTGTTCATAGTCGTGATCATTTCCTTAAGATAAATTCCTGGAAAGATTTCTAGGTCAACAGATATGCATAATTTTAGGGCTTTGACCCTGTACCCAGATTGGCTCCCCTTCAAATGATAGCCCGTGTTCCTCTTGAATATCTGGCTTGGGTCATTCTCACTGCGGTGTCCGCATGGTCTGGGCCTCTGCACATGTACCAGCAAATGCTTGGAACAGGCCCGGCCACACTCACCTCTGCCACAAATAAGACATTGGGCTGTGGCGTGATATGCTTCTCGGGTTTCCAGGGGAGCCATGGTCACCTAACGTTTTGTACTAAGCATGTGCGATGCAGATTGGGACAGATCAGACAGTACTGATTGGTAAATTCTTCTAAGCTTAAAATGGTGCCAAGTTTATGATTTGACTGAAGCAGAGGCAGCTTTGGGACAGGTCTAGAAGCATACTCTGGAAGCATATAAGAAAGACGATGGAGATTAGGAGAAAATCAATTAGATCTTTGCCCAAGATTAATTTTATCACACAGGCAGGGGATGAAAGTTAAGGATGTGTGAAAGCAGACCTGCCTAAGCTGCAGGACAAGCTGCTGCCCCTATCTGCAGATGGTGGACGGAGGGGGGTGAGACATGGGAAGAGGGTGACGCAGCACCTCTTTCCCCTAATGTTAATAAATGCTCTCTAGAAACAGGACCAAAATCTCCACATGCTTGAATGTTTGTGGGGTGCTTAGCTTTTCCCCCTTTCTCAGAGAAGAAACATTTCAAAAACATTTTAATTGAAAAATATGCAGATGTGTATAGACGCATATACTTTTTAATAATCTGTTTCTGAGGCCCCCCTACCCCGGCTTTCTTCTGGGAGACTAGAATGACATCCACGCTGGCCTGAAAAGCGCCATAGCAGGAGCGGGTAAGCTGATGCTGTGAGGAAGACGGGGCGAGGAGCTGGTAGTTTTGCTGGCACTCACCCCTCCCAGGCAGCAGTCTAGCCTCCCGTCAGTATTAGATGGGCAGGTGACAACACACGGAAACCTTCACACACCTTCCCTTTGTCTGGTCTCTGGGCAAAGACAGAAGACTGCTTTATCAAAGCACTTCGCTGAGTTTACTCTTTGGAATTAAAATATACGCAAAGACCCTGCCACTAATTTGTGGGGACAGTTGTATGTCCATAATGTATATTCCATAATACATAATAATAATTGTGTGTTCAATAGTAACGAGGTTTTTCAGTTTGAGGCCTTTCTCTATACCTAGCTCTGTACTTCCCAAACTTGAATCATTTATATAAACCTTCACTCACTCTTTGGGCCACAACCACTTAACTCATATACTGTTTTTTGTTTAATACATGCCTTTAAAGCAACTCACTCCTTTACATGGCTTATCCCTACTCAGTAAAATCTCTAAAAACATGAGTTTAATAGTCTGTCTCACTGTCCTATTCTCTAATGTACATTAAAATAAATATGTAACTGTAAAGATAAAGAATGTTCATCCACATCCAACCTCAGAATTGTCTTGAGTTCTGCCTTTTGAATGTGCACCACAGTTTAGAATCCACAGACCTTGCTCGAAATTTTTTACAGACTCAGATTCTTCATTTTAACATAAATATTCAACTTAAGTTTCTTTTGTCTACTGAACTAGAATTAGGTTCAGATATTGTTAGTTTGTTGTTATATTGTTGTAGACTCTCACTGTTCATCTCTCCATGCAGTTCCACTTACAAACCTCGAGTCTAAACTTTCTTTCATTGGGCTTAGGGATCTGCCTGGAAAGAGCTGAGGGGCTGGCGTGGAAAGATAAATGGATGCATCTGATAAAGAACTGTGAGGCGAAGCTAGATTAGAACCTTATTCAATAAAAACAACAAAAAGTGCAAATGATTATAGCTCAGCTAATGTGCTGAGCAGCCTGCTAAGTCTGTCATTATCTCATCTCCTTCTCACAATTGATAATCATCCCATGAGGTAGGTGCTCATTACCTACATTTTACACACAGGCAAACTGAGGCTTGAGAGGTTAGGCAGTCATACAACTGACATATGGCAGAGGAGGGATTTTTGTGCCCAGCTGATCTCCCTTCCCCGTGCCATGTTGTCTCCAGAGGGGTGCCTCTGTCACTTCTTAAGCCACAGAAGTGAAGACCTTGCTAGACTGAGTTACAGGAGCAATGAAAGCCATCTGCCTCAGCTTCCAGCACTGCCTTGGGGGCAGCTGAGCCATATTGAATGGGCTCCTCAATATGCGTGCTGTCAGGCAGCAGCCGCACGGCAGCCGCCCCTCCAGATCTAGCACCAACTATGCAGGTTTTTCAACTGTGCTACCAGACGGATGGTAGCAAAGGAGATTAACTGTTTAATCTCTAAGTTTCCACGGAGATACATCATACAGCAGAAACTGGTGCTATATCTAGGTGAAAGGTGTTGACACACAAGCTGTACTTTTTCTGGACAACTCTAGAAGATAGAGTCAGAGGATTAGAGGAAATGATCAACCAGGTCTTGGTACCTTTTAGATTTCCTCTAAGAAGTTGCACGGTCGCATTTATCAGTTACGTTGTCACAGAATTTTAGTACATACACCAAGGTGTTGAGATATATTTATTGGAATAGTGGTTCTCAGACTTGGATGTGCATTAGAATCATGTAAGGAAGGAGCTAAGGATGCCTGCTCTCCCTGGTACATCTGAATCAGTCTTTGGCGCTGGAGCTTGGGCATCTGTGTTTTAAAAGCGCCCTGGCGATGCTGATGCCAGTGACAGTTAAAGAAGCACTCACTTGGGAGAGGGGGCATCTGTCAAGGTTTCTTGTCTTCTGTCATGACCACAACATCTCTTTTGACTGTCAGCATTTGGGACCACCTGGTGTAGTGACTGAAAGCAGGAGCTCTGCAGTCCAACTGCATTGTTTCCATGCCACCTCAACTTTGAGACCTGGAATACATTACTTTTCTTTTCTGAATGCCCATTTTTCTCATCTGTAAAATCCATCACTAGTGATAGCTTTCTTGGAGGGAAATTACCGTCATTAAGTGAAACAGTGCATATACAGTACTTGACACTGTGCCTAGAACATAGTAAGCACCTAATAAACATTAGCTGTGATTACGATGATTATCACCAGGCTATAGCATTACCTTACATTTGACTAAGAAGGTATTCCTCCTCTGGAACCTGCAGATTCCCAAGGAAGGGCCCATACGGAAGGCTAATGCAGACTCTTCCTGGCTCCAGCAAGAGCCCATTTGATGCATGAGTGCAAATACATCAGCAGTCTGGGATGAATTGTACAGTGTTGATGGGGGTGGTTATGGGTTCTTGGGCTTCATTTTCACA